CAGGTTCCCAGCGTCAGGTTCCCCGTTCGATTATAATGTCAATGTTTTCAAGGCAAGATTAAATAGGATGTTACAAAGCCAGAGCGTTACTACCAGTTGAGGTAGTAGTGAAGCACTAAGCATTTTTTGGAGTGGAAAAAAATGTTAATACGATAATGTTACTTTTTGTAATTTTGGATAAATAATAATAATGATAAATATTTTAGGACACATTTTTACACAACATTCTCTAGTCCCAAACTAAGCAAAGCTTGTACTATGGGTACTAGAAAACTGATAAACATACTTAAACATACTTTTCTTTTGTAAATAAATACATATTATACATACATATAATAACACTAGAAAAATACTATGTTCATCACACAATATTTATCCAGTAGTGGGGATCGTACCCACACCCTCTGGCGCATGAGGCAGGTACACTACCCACAACGCCATTCGGGTCGTCACGGGATGGATGGATGGAATGGAAATTTTTAGATCAATCATCAGAAGTATCAAAAGAGGATTTAAGTCTTTATATCGATCTGACTACTTTTTGTTACACATTCCTCCCGTTGGGTTTTATGTAAGCTGTCACAACAAATGTCATATACCGAGCGCTAAAAGGTTACACAGCAAAAATAATTTATTATCTGTTGCCTCTAATCTTGGAGCTTTGATGACGATTAAAAGGGTTGAGTACTCATATTTTTAGAGCTTTTAAAGTTTTTTTTTTTTTATATGAAGCATGGCATTTCCTTTTGCATCTTTGCAGGCAAATCAAGTAAGATAAAACGTAAGCATGTAATTAGTAGCTATATGATATTCTCTGTATTACCTGTGTACACGTAGGATTGTTTACCATCGTCTTGAGTGACACTATTGTGCTACATTAGCTGATTTCACCTTGGTTAGCTTTCAATTTCTTATAAGATGACTGCCATGCATGAATAGCGCAAAGGAAGAAATTAATTAATTAAGAAGAATTAAAGATGAATTTTAATGGCAAAAAATATTAATGCACTATTACAATATTAGGGAAATAGACTATTAGGCAGTACATATATAGGTAGGTAGGGATTTATATTATAAAATAAAAATATAGGGTAATTTTGCCAATATCCAAGTTCAAAACGAAATCCTAAATGCATAGAATTGCTTAAATATATAGTACCTGCTTAAATACATACTGCGTGGAGGACCGAGCTTTGCTCGCTTTTTTTTTGGTAAATCATGTATTTTGGATATAAAAAAGGAAAGCAATGATCTGGTATAGAAAAAAAAAACTAAGTGTGTAAATGATCGTGATACGGACTGTTTTGGGGCCGCCCGAATACCGACCGAGCTATTTTAACATTTTTTTTGCGGCGAAATGTACCGTCATATTCGAATGATATTTTTATTCCCTGAAAACAGGCATAAAAGGACATTTACTAAATAGATGTTATCCGCTTCTCCACCCTGGCCGATATGTACACATTAGTTCACGAAAATCGGTCAAGCCGTTTCGGAGGAGTTCAATTACAAACACCATGACACGAGAATTTTATATATAAGATTGTTTTTTGTGTCTTACAATTTATTTTTCAGTTAGTTGCATGTGAAGTTCTTACACCTCAGTGATCAAACTTTATTCGCTGGGAAGGAGCTCCCATGGAACGCAAAGAAGTCCTCTGAACTGAATCGAGCAAGCCCCTGGGTAGGCTAACATCCTCCACATTTACCTCACGTTTTTTTATGTGATAAGATGGCAAGCGAGCTGGCGGTTCATCTTATGTTAAGTGATAACGCTGCCCATGAACATTTGCAACACCCATAGTCGCCTATTCGTTGTCACCTATTAATAAACTGGTTACCTTACTTACCAAATGAAAAGTTCCACTTCACGCCGTTCTTCTGGGAATTCTTCTGTTCTTCTTCCGGTCCTGGTACTCCCCGGACGGGCCTGTACATAACGCCTTATAAGACAGGCGGGGATACCTTACCTTCATTCTATAAGACCAGAAACGTAGGGCAAAGAAAGAATAATTATAAGCATAATACATATAATAAATTTTTACGACTTAATTTTCTCTTCGTGATCGAGCGTCATGCAACGTTTTTAAAAGCATTTACTGTTGAACTATTTGTGTTAGTAGAACTCCCGAATTTGAAAAATCGAATCGCAAATGTGACTGAATTTTTTAACACGCAAGTGACGCCTCGTTTTGTTAATATACGAAGCGGGCGTACAGGTGTCAATAGTTTATCCTGTAACAGGATAATGCTTTTTTTACCACTAATGACCATCTTGTTTGACTTACCATTGTTATTAATCAATGATTACGTCTATTTCATAATTGCGAGGAATTTGATCTGATTATTAACCATCCGGCTTAATACAAAATAACACGATTGCAATACTTAATGGTTATTTTGAATAATATCGTTTTACTTACTACGCTTATATTGGGATATTTATACCATTAGTAGATAGATTCCTATCGTACCTATTTGAAACAATAGTTTTAATAACGCGCACTATTTATTACTGTGTTTAAAACAATTCAAAGATATTAATCAGATTAAATTAGATAAAGAAGTGAAAATGTTTCTGCACCGTAAATCCGGTGAGGAATGTTATTTTAATTCAATTCAAACAAACTGAGAGGGGCAGATTAAGCAATCGAATCTTCTACGAATTTAAAAAAGGGTATTATAAACCCGTTTTAATGTTCGATTTGGAATCACAAACGATTAATAATTTTAAAACATTTATAAAAGTATTAAAAACTATTTAACTAAGTTATAGTTATTTTTTTAAACCATTCTTTTCAATTCCTGAGTGGCAGAAGACAGTTACTATCAGATCTTTTACGTTTCTATAACAAAATTACACACATGTAAGTTTTTTTTCATACTTTATAGTAGATTCTATATAGGTTACAGATTCGGAAAAAAACAAGGTCAGTGACCACTCAGCTTCTGCTGTCAGCGTTGACAAATTTCATTGCCGTGTATTATCTTAGGCCAAAACAGAGACACTAATCTTATACCGATGGAATTTTTACATATAGGTACATATTATATTATTCAGTCACGTTATGATACGCAAATATTAAGTATTGTACTTATTTTGCCAGGGTGAAGTCGCACAGCACCCCCGGGGTAAGTACCACGGACTTACAATATCGATTTCAAATATTAAAAACGCTGAATGCATTAAAGAAATATTGGCAGACGGTTTTGAATTCACTTAAACAAAAAAAAATATTCGTTATTCTCTAAGTTTAATATAATTACTAATTTAAAACGTGATTTTTTGTAGATAAATAATCAAAAACTTAGGCACTGCTGGATTCGAACCTGTACTTCTTTCAGGGTAAGGCAATGATTTAACACAATCAATGATATTTTATTCGACATATTGTGTGAGAAAGTAAAAAGGAATATCATTGATCTTAATAACAAAGCTGACTGGCTCACGAAATTACGCCCCAAATTCTATGTATGTATTTTTATATTACACTATAATGTATTTTTCTAATTCTTAGATTTTTATTATCCCATAGCTTATATCTATGTTAGTTCGTCGTTCGTTCTTGATTGTTCTTTAAAAATAATAATTTTAGGATTAATTTTTATTCTTATCAAAAGACGTAAATTCAAAGGTGGCCGGGCTGAAAGTTTTTGTTCCATTTATCGACCAAAATTTATAATTAAAATAATTCATAGTTCCCAAATTATTTAATGATAAAAAATATATTAAAAATCGCGTATTTTAATTGAACCTCCATTGAAATTTATATATATTTTTTGTAACTGTTAGTATTTAAATATTCACTGATTATAAGAATATTAAAGTATCTATTTAGGTAAAGTATCTAATTAACAATTTTCATTTTGCTAAATATTTTTAAATGCTACGTTAGATGCCTATGTTTAAAACAATGTATCAAATGTAATTTTCCTTAAGATTATAAGTATTTCGTCTTATTAACATTTTTTCATTAATATTGCTAATAAAAGATAGACGAAAAGTTATTCGCCGTGGCGGGAATCGAACCCACGTTTTCCGGAATCAGGTCCAGAATTTTAATGTTTCACTATAAACTCTTCACACTCTCTAACTTGTAACACCTTAAAACTAAATATAAAAATATATGCGGGTATATCTAATCTATTCCAAGGTTCAGGCTAGTCGCCCCGTGCGCCAGGCCACCTCAAGCCCGTCGGAACTGTAAAGGCCCTTAAGGCCAACAGTGGCGCACCCAGCCCAAAAAAAATATCTAATCAATTAATGACTCATACTTTTTAATTTATTTCTTAGATCCGTTTATTATTAATTGCATGAATAAATTTAAAATAGCTTCTACAATTCCTATTCTACTTACAATGCGTGAAAATAGTTATTCATGTACTAAAGTGCTCGAAAACTCAAGTGCAAGTCGAGTGATAAATAAAATCTTACTCGATGCATTGGTAGGAAGGAGCAAGAATTTGGTAGCAACGCTTGGCGCCATCTAGTGTACCTACATGTAAGGATAATATGTCATTGAATTTGAAAGTGATGTCCCCTTTGCTAAATAAATCTATGATTTACTTTTATTTAATCTTATGTTTTTTTTAATGAATTCTATGTAGCGCTATCCAGAAAACGCAGGTTCGAATCCCACACAGACGAAAGTTTTTGACCATTCATTTACAAAAAATTATATTCTGAGTTTTGCCGTGTGTGCAGAGACAAGTTAAAAAATAATTGATCAGTATGTAAATGTTTCATGCGGGACATTGTTTGAAAGAAAAAAAAAGAAAAAGGACTTTCAGAAACTAAAAGAAATTTTATATTTTTTAATATATTTCTTTCTAAAAATTCGTTTTGCCTATATGGCAACAGTATTTCTTTTCCGGTAAGACGAAGACGTCAAAGCTAAATTTGTCTAAATTTTATTTGCCGTTTCAATCAATCCACAGTTTCTTATTTAACATAATATATTAAAACTCGTCTAAAAGCAAGGATAATTTAAACTTTTACTATGCCACGCGGTAAGTTAATATCTTAAATTGTTGTTATTTTAAAGGTTGAGTCTCAATGTCGTCCTGTGTTATTGAGAATGTGCTTTACACGTTAACCCTGAATTTTTATATGTATAATTTCGACATTTTCAGGTAAATACACCAACCATAAGGGGCGCAATCGTAAATTCACTAGTCCCGAAGAATTAGAAGAGCAAAGGAAGCAGGAGGAACAGAAACAAAAGCAAGTATATTATAACATATACGTAACAAAAGCTGAGTCGGTAATGAAGATGTTGTCAATTGCAAATAAAATTAGTACTTTACATTGAAAACATAATATTCTTATTTAAAATACAATGTACGATTTATATGAAAAGTAGATAAATATTAAGAGAAAGTTTAGTGACACTTGCTTTTGGCAGCTTTTTAAGACGCTAATTACCATAGATAAGACATATATACTGAAATGTAATGACCTTTTCATTGAAAAAATTTGCTAATGACCTTTTAAAAACTAACAATTAATAACTGTAATTAAATTTTGGCCAAAAACAAGTAATGCCATTATTTAATGGAAACAAAATTATTTGCATTCAAAGTTAATTATTTTAAAAAATTGTATTTGAATTTTTGATGCCTACATTCACATTTAAATGTTTCAGATGGAGGAAAGAACATGGGCCGAGCAGCAGTGAAGAAGAGTCAGAAGACAATAAGTCAGGCTCGGGAAGCAGTGATGACAGTGATTCTGATGAGGATGTAAATATTTGTCACTCCTTATTTATACTTAGTAATGTATTTTGTGCATGTCTTATTGACTATATGCTTAATTGACTAAATGCTTGTTAAATATAGCTACTAATTTTAATGTGGCTGAATGTAATCTATCCAAATATACTGCTTAAAGATGAATCTTTAATTTGAAATTCTTATGCGGAAGAACAAATAAATTTGTATGTCCTATGATGCAAATAAAAGAAGAACTATGCAAGTTTTTATAATTTAACAAACTCACTTACATTTTTTCAGCATCCCACAAAGGCTAAAGGAGTTTCGGGACTCATTGAAGTGGAAAATCCCAACAGAGTAGTAAAGAAAAATAAAAAGTTAAATAACTTAGATAACCTCGGCGAGGGAGAAAAACCCCAATTATCAAGGTACATATTTAAATTCTACTATTGGCAGCATTCAGAAACTTCAATTGGCAATTTCTAACACTAAATACATTTCTATATACAGTGTGTCTTTACAATCGCGAAAATAAATGAACACATGTCGTAACGCTACTTGCCAATAATCATAAAAAAACATAAACTGTAAAAAAAATCCATAATTAAAAAAAATATTTTTCAAACAAAATTTGTAACATCCTTTACAACTACAACCAACTGCTTCATACATTCAGAGACTTTTTCATTTGTTTCCACCGTGTCATATTACAAATCTCTTCTAACCATATATTTTATCTCTTAAATTAAGTCAACCCATTCATATGCTTTGTGACCTTTACAAATGAACTTAATGTTATGTGTGTTCTAAAATTGTTTGTTTTGGAAAATTTAATAACTTGCTAAATATTGATGTTTAAAGAAGGTGAATCTTTAATACAATTTTAAAAAGTAATCCTCTATATGTGTGTTCATTTATTGTCGCCTTTGTAAAGACACACTGTATGTAATAACTCAAACTAAACTTTGAAAACAATTTAATTAAATTCAAGGCATAAATGCTATTATTGTAGATTGTAAATTGTTAAATTTTTCATTAAATGTTTAGCATAGTAAAAGATAATTTATTGCTATATAGCATTCAAACATTATTTCCATATGGACATAATATTTTCCAATTTCAAATTTCTTGAATTGATAGAGAAACATATCCCACACTATTATTAAAACCTAAAAATTTTAGTGTTTATATTTTATAAAAAAGTATAAGATAAAAGTCATGTTCTTTTTAGGGTTCCATACCCAAAGGGTAAAAAAACAGGTTCCTTTTACTAAGATTGCGCTATCTGTCTGTCCATCCATCTGTCAGTCTTTCTGTATGTCTGTCACCAGGTTGTTTCTCATCAAACGTGATAGTTAGACATTTGAAATTTTCACAGACAATGTATTTCTGTTGCTATAACAAAAAATACTAAAAAAGAGAATAAAAAATATTTAAGTGGGGCTCCCATATAACAGACATGATTTTTTTGTTGTTTCTTTAGATAATGGTGTCTGTGGATTTTATTTGTTTTCTCTTTGTTTGTGAAATAAAGAGGTTTATGTTACCAGTCTTATAATCCACAAAAAATTGAAATATTAATGATTTAAACATTTTTGGATTGGCAAATCGACAAGTCACATCAACAACAATCTAGAGACAGTTTTATAAGGATCTAAAAAAATGTAATGTCAGAAAATGAAGAAACTTACAAAGATTGTGTGAACATTGAAAGAGACTAATGTATTACCTGATTTTTAAATGACACATCAATCTCTAAAATAAGTTCAAATTTAAAGTATTTTTTTTAATGTGAAAAGTTGTTAAGTGGGCAGTCGGTTCATCTGATGTTAATTGATTACCGTCGCCCAAATACATGTACAACACCTGACGGGTTGCAGATGCATTGACAACTAGACATGGGACTAATAAATTTTTCTGAGAATCATATCTGAATTAGATTTCGATTTTCAATATAGGATGTTGAAACTATGTATTTTAATATCTAGATGGTTTACGTTCGCGTATCCTTAGATTCTTAAATCTAATCCCACACACGGCTTGAAATATGATACAACAATATCATAGGTATTTAACAGAAACCTTTATTTTCATAAAATTATGATTTAAAATTACTTACTCATAACAGTGATATAAAAACGTTTAAAAAATCTGATTATGTTCATTGTTGTACCGCTGTAACTAGTGTAATATTTGTATCTGAAGCGATTTGTCGCTCGCAAGCGGCCGACGCGTGTATTATCGCGATTCGTATAAGCACCGAGCGAGAGAGTATTTTCGGTTTACCAAAAATATGAGATTGAGAGAGAAGATTTTGAACGAGCCCATAAGATATTTTTGGATATTGAACCAATATATAGTTTTATTATCTATATACGATTTGTATCGCCCACTTCTATTGACAACCTATAAATAAGCGGGCCCCTGGCTACCTCACACATCAGACACAACGCGAAAGTATCAACCTTTTACTAAACGCCGATCTTCTGCGAGACCGTGGTACTTCCTTTCTATGACGAGCCTGTCTATTCGCGCAACAGCCGAAGCCACTGCGTGGTCAATTCTCTCTCTATCTCAAAATTGTTGATAACATTGAGCAAAAAAAAAAACAGAAATTGCGTTAAAATTAAGATCCTTAAAATGTTTACATTTTTATTAATATGATAATGCAAACAGGCGCGAACGGGAAGAAATTGAGCGCCAGCGTGCTGCTGCTGCATATCAGAAGGCCCATGCTGAGGGGAAGACAGACCAAGCTCGGGCGGACTTGGCCCGACTGGCCATAATCCGTCAGCAGCGTGAGGAAGCTGCTAAGAAACGCGAGGCAGAAAAAAAAGCGAAAGACGAAGCAACAAAAAAGAGGTAAATATGTAATAACTCAAAGTCCTAGTATATGAAGTGAATGATTAAAAATTGCCTGACTGCTGATTATAGTGTTATTGATAAGTAGCAGTTATCTATACACTAATATCTGAGGGTCCAAGACTCGCTCTTACAGAGGCTTCTATTGGTCATACATAGAGGTCATACATTTAGAGAAAAAAAGTGAAGGGGACCATAGAGTGGCAAGAAAATTGTTAAATTTGTAAAGTATATTTTAAAAAATCAGAACATCCCTTCAAATTGGTTAGATGTATTCATAATGCTTTTTGTTCACAGGTAGAAAAATACTGATGATAGAAAACATCAAGATCAATATTTTAATGTCATATGCCCATAATCTCAAAATTGGTGGCTTTCAAATCATAAATTAAATGTTGTCAGCTGGTACTTGCAATTTTAAGACTGTTTGTGAGAATATTTCTTTATTTGTGCTGATTATTAGCTGCAAAGAATTTTGGGATTGACAAAATAAAAAAAAAAATGACAATTTTTTGCACATTTTACTTTATTTTAAAAAACATTTGGATAATGGTTGAAAAAAAATGTATAATGTAATATCCTATATCAATTGCAATATGAGGGAAATGAAAAACAACAAAAAACATGGATAATGTAACTTAATGTCTTAATGATTGTATTTTTTTATACTTTCTTTTTATTTGAAGCTAATTTTTGGTTCTCAAATACTCTTTAAAGTTTTAAGAGGAAAATTAATAAGTAACAATGTAAAATTTAAAGACAATAGCATGCATTTTTACAATTAATACACATTTGTTCATATAATAAATTTTGTTTCTTAATATTTTAGGACAGTGGAATTAATACCATCCATCACTGACCTCTAAATTTTTCACAGAAATATTTCATACACCCCATAAATTTATTCATAGACAAGTTTTTTTTTTCTATATTTTTTATGTAAAAGCATGGACTAGTTACACAGCAGTTCCACAGTTTTGTTCAATAAATAGTTATTTTAAACAACAGAATTTTTTTCAAAGATATAAATCTAGTTAAAGCAAATGGTCTGAATCACGACTGCTTGATATTTTAAGTCTTACTTTCTTTTCTTTTAAATCTTGCATTGTAGATTAACTGTAATTGTGAGAGTATTTTGTTGGTAGAGTTTTATTTCTAAATGTTAACAAGCACAAGTAATTAAATGTGGGAAATTTAATCCATATTTATTATCAGGTAACACTATTTATTATTGTGAATATCTAAAGATTGATGTTAAATGTTGTAGCTGTCAATTTACACAAATGCTATTCTTATTAAAGTTGTAATAAACTAAATGTGTTGATGGATGTATGTTACATGATATATTGTTCTCATTTCAACCTGAATTCTATTTGAATTTGCCTAGGTCTAATTATTAGATAGTCTCACTAGACAATTTTTATATGCAAATGTGTATCTGTATAATAAACTATTGAAACAAATCTACAAATTTTTTTCGAATTTATAACATATACTAATAAATAAAATTAAGGTGTCAGTTTATAATGTCGAAAGAACATCTTTTTTCTTGTTTTGCTTTATTGCCTATCATGTGTGCGTTAGGGTAGGAATGCCACCTACGGGCCATAGAGCTTCGGTGCGAAACATAGATGAGAAATATATACTGCGGACCGTGACCCCAATGGCCGTTAACTATATTAATCAGTGGCCGGGACGGTGAAGACCGCTCTGGATAGCGGGTGTACCTGATAGACGCGTTATGTTAGTTTTGCTGTGCTCGTAGGCGAGGTCGAAATATTTGGTCTCGTACGCTAGCATTATGTGACTGTGTAGTGCTGTTGGACGGTTCTGGAAGGGGGACCGACATGCTTATGTCCCGTACCTGAAATTTGTAAAGGTCTTTAGGATGAACGTTGGCAAAATACGTGCAAGGGGCATTTTATTTGCGTAAAGTTATAAAATCCAACGCGGTTTTATTCCTAATGTTTTCAATGTGAGTATTCAAGAAAATCTTGTTGAAAGTGACCTCAAGGCATTCACCTCCCAAAGGATCGGTTGTCCGTAAAAGGTGATTTTCCTTTATTTTATGTTGAGACAGACAGAGACACAGCACAGTACATTCACAGGAAGAAGTTAAAAGAAAGTACATGACTCAAGGAACCCGACGGTAAGATCACCAACAACAGTAAAAAGTGCCGGATTTAACCACTTAGCAAGAGTAGCAATCACTACGGGCCCCGCGCCAAAGTAGTCTCCGCATATTTAAACGCACTCATCTCTGCCTGAGCCTTAATTACAAGCTTTTTTATGAAACTTATTAAATAAGTACGTGTATTGAATTGTTTTTTTACCATTTTATAGTTAAGAACACAACAGATCAAGGGCTGCTTGAAAGAATTTGCTACGGGCCCCGCGCTTGCTTAATACGGCATTGACGAAACGCCAGTAACACAGGCAGTAAAGCGAACACTAAACCAGGCTTAACTCACAGCCAGTCAATATAAAGTAGGAAGCTGTGGAGCTAATGCCTAAATTGACATCAACCTACGATTGAAGAGCTCCCTAACTCTTTAAAGCAGTTGAAGTGTTGGAAGAGTCCTGGTGAAGACAAAATATACACCGAGGTGCTAAAGATCCACTTTGTCATTCCATTCGTAATCTCCTCGAAGTGTTGGTCCGATGGTAAGGTGCCTCACGAAATGATGATGTAATACAAATATTGTCACATAGGGGAAGAACCACGGTGACTGCAAGTCTTTCCGCGTGATATCTATTTTGAGCATCGTCGGCAAACTGATAGCTAATGTAGTTCCTAGCAAGTTACAATGTTTTGCCGACTACATTTACCCTGAGACAAAATGTGGCTAGGCGATCAACTACTGACTTGAACTTTTAGGATGCTTTTTGAGAACTTTATTTAACACTCTGTCTGGGACATCAGATCGCTTACGTATTAGTCACTATTTGGTTGGTATTCAAACGACACTGTAGTGTTGTGATTCGCCGAAAAATGAAGCCATTTTCTCTCCACTTTCCGTTCGGACTTTTCTTAACTTTCGGCAGCGATCCTTCAAAAAGATATACCAGTTCTGCCGACTGGCGTTTTCTATCCGGTTTAAAGTATTTCACCCAGAATCACGCAGTGCCCCTTTCACGATTTAGAAAGTCAATATCTGTTCTTCTTTAAAACATTTTACAGTACTACTCGACACGCAGTCTAGTGTCTAGTCCTCCGTTATATTTTGCAGTATCCATCAAGTGCAAGGTTTTCAAACCTTCAGTTGGACATACTTTGCGAGTTGAAGACCCAGCCATGCCGTGAAACATGTTTCTGTGCAATGCAATGCTATAAACCACAATAGGTTTGGCCGCCTTTTAGGTTACTAGAACCCGTTTTTAAAACTTTAATTATCTATAATCTAAATTGTTTATTTGACTAAGATAATACGCAAGTTAGAAACGGAAAACAGATTACATTACATCGTAATAAGTATAACACAACTTCATCGCGAATGCAGAACTCGGGTAAATTATGGCGTTAAATTCGCGATTTATAAGAAAAACTTTCTGAGTTTAGCTTAGCAATGAATCAGCCGGCGTAGAGTTAAATAACATTCGTCGCGTAAAAATCAATACTTAAGTAAAGAAGGCGAATAATATTGAGTATATGTGTTTTTATAGACTGCTTTTACAGCTCCTGCTGTCTACTGTTTAGACTGTAGTTCCGTACAAAAAATATACCAAGTACAATAATTGTATAAACGGAGAATAATTGTAGTTTGCAACGAAAGCGACGAGAACAGAAAAAACTTAACCTTGAACCTACTTTTACGGATTTTATTTCAATCCTTTTACGATTTCAATCCTTTTTCAATCCTAATCCTTTTACGGATTTTATTTCAAACAAAGATATTTATCGAAAACACTGGTTTCTCATGAGTAGGGACAGAAAGTGTAAGAGTAAGCTGAAAGTGAATACTTTTTGTACTTGCCAGTGCCCTAGCAGGGCCTATAATGATCTTCTAAACTATTAATTACCTAAGAACTTGTAACCTATAGATGGCAAATAAACGAATTTGGTATTGAGTTGTTTTTACCACTTTATACTAAGGAACCCATAGAAGATCAAAGGCTCTTTGCTTTTGGGCCCCGCGCTTCTATAATCTTTTATTAGAACATGGCAATTAAAAGTGATACTGATATTAGCTTGGCAATAACTCTATACATAGATATAATAACTGAAGCAAATTGTTCTTCATCTCCCACCAATATCGAGCTCAATATTCTACCGGGGCTTGAAAAGATTTTCCCTAACTTCGTGTGAAAACAATATTAACAGAATGTTACGACAACAAAACCAAAATTCGTTGACCAATTTGAACGATGAATTTACAGAGAGCACAGCATCCTACTAATAATATCCGGCTAAAGAACTATGAGAGGATGTCAATAGCCCCGATCGCCGTGTACGATTTTTTCTGTGCAAAATTCGATGACCTTGATCTTGGCCTTTGATGGCCCCTTTTATTTTTTCCTTGGAAAATTGCGTTTTCGTTGCGTTTTCACGGAACATTCTATCAAGCACAACCGCTTGGTGGAATCATTTGTCGCCAGCGATGTTTACAGACGGATAAGACTTAAGAACTCGCATGAAAAGAGTCTATTGCTATACATAAAGGACGGCAACTCTATGATGATCACTTACGACTAGCCAGTGTCCTGCTTGGCTCTGTGCCTGATTTTGCATTTCTATGCTTGATAATTTGGTATCAGCTCTCGCCATACTCGTGAAATTCAATAATGACAAACTAATAATAATAATATATGTGTTTATTCACTCCACAAAATTTACATATTAACTAATACTATTTAAAAGTAGAATCACTTACATTGAAAAGTTATCTTCGGCAGCCATACTAGTGTAAACTGTGTCACGGCTGCCTGCGTCTTCCACTTTGGGAATAGATTAGTACATATAGGGAGATTTTTTGAGAAGTGCCCAAATTTACACAGGAGGTTCAGACTCGGTAGTATAATCGTTTATTGCAATAAAAAACTAATTTTCTTTTCCAAAAAAATGCCATTATATTCCTTAAAAAACAGAACGTGTTGACTATGCGGTAGTCATTCATAAATACCTAAATTTTACTGTGCACGAACTTCTGTGCGTGTAAGTTATGAATGTTCGCACGCACTTTTTGAGATAAGTACAAATGAATGTAATTAATTACTTACGAGTGATTTTAAATATTTATCATTTTCTATAAATTTAATAAAAAAAAATGGATACACTTAGAAAAGCCACCCTGTAGAGAT